GATGCCAAATCAACACCCTTCCTATCTATTTACATGAGATTTAGGCTTTCGGGTACACCATGGAATCAGTCCCTTTGGAAGATGTGGTTCTTAGAAGAACTGGTGGGTGTTGACTTACCATTTCGGCAAGGACGCTCCGGCCGTCCTCTGGCAAACTGTATATACTCAACAGATGTTAAAGCAAAAGCAAAGTTAAATTGAAAAGGTTTACCTTTTCCATTCCTGGAGATGGAAAACGAGAAGCTCCTCGATCTGCCACCTAAAAATAAAAAAGATGTAGTACTCTTTAATTTTAGTTGCCTCGCCATTATGTCAACTAACATCTGAAATCGAATTTCAATTTTTATGTGAAATAGTCCAATAATCCAGTTTCCAATTAACTAATCCCGTTCCTAGCAGCATAAGCTATATCTCGTAACAAACTAACCTTTAGACTTGAGTTTCTTGAGGTGTTTCTTGCCTGGAAACAAAAAACAGAAAAACGTGATAGAGTAAAGTGTAGCTTTCTTGCTTAATAGTCAACGGTGTTAAGTGTGTTTGTCTGGCAATTGTTTCAGCTTGAAAAGTTTCATCAGAGAATTTCTGCTAACATTTTGAAAGTGTAGCAAATCCTGTATTCGATTTACAAGTGATCATCAATTATCAAAACATAAATCCTATCCACTACAATTATATGAAAATCTACAGTCAGGAAAGCCTTTTGTCCAAAACCTTTCCAGTCTAAGACTTGACGGTGTAAATCTTTTTGATACAAACTTAACACCCTTCCTATACATGTGAAGGGAAGAACATCTTAGTCAAGACAGTTGATGAGTGAAAAACTGTAAGTCAGATTTGAATTTTGCATGGTGGAATTTACATGAGATATAGGCTTGCAAGTACACCATGGAATCAGTCCCTTTGAAAAAGGTGTGATTCTTAGAAGAACCGGTGGGTGTTGACTCCCCATTTCGGCAAGGATGCTCTGGCTGTCTTCGGGAAGACTGTATATACCCGACAGATATTAAAGCAAAAGCAAAGTTAAATTCAAAAAGGTTTACCTTTTCCATTCGTGGAGATGGAAAACGAGAAGCTCCTCGATCTGCCACCTAAAAAATAAAAAAGATGTAGTACTCTTTAATTTTAGGTGCCTTGCCATTATTTCAACCAACATTTGAAATCGAATTTCAATTTTTATGTGAAATAGTCCAATAATCCAGTTTCCAATGAACTAATCCCATTCCTAGCAGCATAAGCCAAATTTCATACCAAACTAACCTTTAGACTTGAGTTTCTTGTAGTGTTTCTTGCCTGGAACCAAAAAACAGAAAAACGTGATAGAGTAAAGTGTAGCTTTCTTGCTTAATAGTCAACGATGTTAAATATATTTGTCTGCCAATTGTTTCAGCTTGAAGAGTTTCATCAGAGACTTTCTGCTAGCATTATGAAACCATAGCCTGTATTCGATTTACAAGTGATCATCAATTATCAAAACATAAATTCTATCCACTACAAATATATGAAAATCTACACTCAGGAAAGCCTTTTGTCCAACCTTCTCAGTTTGAGACGTGCCAGCCTAGATCCTTTTTACTTGAATAGAAAAATACACCCTTCCAATCCATTTGAAGTGAAAAATATCTTATTCAAAACAGTTAGCCTAAAAAGAGCAAAAATGTAGATACCCGACAAATATTAAGGCAAGAGGAAGGTTCAATAAAAAAATGTTTACCTTTTCTATTCTTGGAGATGGAAAAGGAGAAGCTGATCGATCGCGACTTGCCTGGTAAAAATTTTAAAAATGTAGTACTTTTAATTTTGTGAGCCCAAGTTCATGACAACTTATATTTTAAACTAGATTTGAATTCACATGTGTCACTGCCTTATTACCCATTTATTTATGAAGATTATTCCTCTATAAACACCATTTGATTTATTTTCAAAGAAAGTAACTTGGATATTTCAGTTTCCTGTGGCATCTTTTTCCTGGAATCGAAAATAGAAAAAAGGCCTACGGTAAGTTATTAATTTGATGCACAGTGAATGATATTACATGTGTGGAGTTCCTCCTGATAAAGCTAAAAATTGAATTTTACAAATGTTTACGTATACGTCTCAGATTTGACACTAATTGCTCTCTCTCTCAATGGGTTTCCTTACATACCTCTAGTCTTAGGCTTCTTTGGGCGTTTCTTTCCTTGAAAAGAAAAGGCAGTATTCAGAGTGAGAGATGGTCTTGTTTTGTTTGAATTTGATTTTGACTTTTAGCATGCAAGCTGGAACTTTTTCTAATTCATAAATAGTGTTTTGCCTATTTACAAAACTAGTTTAGTTCCAGTGATGGATTTAAGAAATAGCTTGTTTCACTTAACGAAGCATGAATTCCGTCGATGCCTACATCTCTTCAGTTTAAAGTAATGCAGTGGACAGTTGCTGCCAAACTATGTGCCCTAAGATGGTGAGAATGTCTTTAGACTCTATTTTGGACAAGCTGAAGTAATATAGCCAATATTTTTACTATCAGTTATAGGGACTTTTAATATGAACTCATATTGAGAAACATTTCCACGATTTACTCTTTTCAGCGTCTTAATAGCGAGGAAAGTACCGCATTCACACGCAACGTTCAGTCCGAAATAAGACAACGCGCCTAATACCCTAACTCTGCGAGTGACATTGGGCAACTTCTCAATCCATTGAAACTTGTGTTTCTCTTCGACTGAATGATAATTACAGACTAATTTATGATTTTTGCACTGCCCGACGTACACTAAATTAAATAACTACAGACTATTTATTAAGCGCTTTTAACAATAATCAAATCGCTGCAAAAATAGGATACAAACAATAAAAGCATTTGATAATAAGACGAGCTTTGAGGCTAGGTTTATCAAATGAAAAGATGATTTTGTGCAAAGTCATGGAAAAGGCACTCATAACGAGAATCCTGTGTGATGAGGATCTTATTCCACTCTCTTGGGCCAGCAATGGAGAGTGCCTTAACACCTGTCGTTTTTATGTTTATGGGTACATATAAAAGCAGGACTCATGGGTTGTAGACATAAAACCGTTTTCTACCTGATTGATATGGGATAAGTAAATCGGTTAGGTAAGAATTCACTCCTGTGGATTACACCCACACAGGATGAATTTGAATTCAATGCGGGTTTCATTGGTCAGTTTGTGTAGCGGATGAATAAGAAGTGTGGTATATCAGTAGATTAGTCAATACTGAAGATCAGTTTAGCTGCAGGGTTCTGAAGATCGTGTGGCCTGTATCCCTCTCCTTAATTGATTGATATACCGTGTAATAAAAAGTTGCTGTAATTGAGGCAAAATGTGATTAAAGTGTCGATTGATAATGAAATTCTAACACAATTAAAATCGCGCAGGTGAATATTGATGTAACGCATTGTGACAGTGACATAGTGGAGTGAATATCACACCAATATCTCTGAAAATGGATTATGGGGTTTGACTATGGACACTGTCCTAGTCAAAATTCCTGGTCAGATAGAGAAATGTTCAATTTTGTCGGCATTCAGTTGTAGCTTGTTAGCACACATCCAGAGGTTAATGTCCAATATACATGCTGAAATTTTGTCGAGCTTTGGAATCTCCAAGAAGCAAAAGTTCTTAGAGCTGCATGAAGTTATATACCATCGGCGTAAATGCGACAGTGAAGATGTCGATGCAGGATGATATCTGAAACCCGTTTGGCTTAGAAAGGCCCAAAACAACCAAGGGTTCATCCAAAAATACCTAGGAATACGAACTTTCACCGACATGGTGATTCAGACAATTTAAGAAATTTTCTCATTGAATTTTGACAAGAATATCATACTGGATATCAAAATTTATTTAGGTTATCTACATCAAGATTTTTCTTTTTATCGGAGTGACGATGGCCTGAGACGAGTCAAGCAGGAATGTTCCTGTTGTCAGAGAGGATTTTAAAAACACTGTCATTTGCTCGTCTTGTAGGCATTGAATCTGGAAAACATGCACATAATTTTGCAGAGGAACAGTGATTTACTGCACAATTCCCTATTCGTCAAAAGATCTGAATTCTAACAATGGACGAACCATGTTTTCAGGAAGAAAGTCAAAAGAATTAGATTGCTCAGTGCTATCAATGCCATACCAAATAGAAATCACGAACCTTTGTACTTCTTGATGGGTTTCCTGAAGCGCTTCTTTCCTGAGGGAAGATATAAGACACAATCTTGGAAAGCGAATTAACAAATTTGGGAAGGTTTTTAGGAATACCTCTCGGTGACACTTGAACCAAGCTTCAAAATTAAGCAACAAGAAAATGGCACCACATCAAATGTTTACAAATTTTTTTAACTGAAATGAACATCATTCTGGGGAGATATGGTATTTCCAAACATAAGCACACCCACTTAGGTTCAAGTTTTAAGAATTTTACGAGGAAGCCATTTAAAAAAGAGTGTTTTGTTACGTAAGACCACACACAGAGACTCTGGTGGCTTTTTAGTGAGAGACAACAGTCCTCATACTATTCAGATATATTTTTATTTAAATAAGAGCACATTTCCAATTTTTTATCTTTGCAAAATGTTGGATCCTGCTCTGTGAAGCAAACCCGTCTTTATACGCACACCATTAGCCGTACGGAAGCATGGAGGACACATGGGAGGTCGCTAATTGAAGTGGGTAAATTTGGAGCAAACACAGAAGCTTCTACCCAAACCAAATAGCGCCCTCCTATTGTGTCTGTCATGCTTCTAAAAGGCTCGTGCCAGTTATACGTGCATATTATGCTGCTATGAGTTTACTACGGAAGCTTACAAGGGCAGTTGCAAATTTCTTTCGAGTTACTGTATCGCTGCGGCGAGATACTCGCCGCAGCGAGATTGTAAGTAGAAAAAAATTCAAAGGGTCCTTGTAAGCTTCGTTAGTTTACATCGGCGATTGACACGGGCGTTAGTGTTCTTTTGACCTTGGGGAGTATCACAGAAACAATATCGAATATCGCGCGACTTTAATACTCAGGGCAATTCGAGGTACAGAATCTGTGGGAGAGATGTTACATAACAACTATAGACTTTTTCTTGGCGTGGTAAAGCCAGCAAACGTTTTCAGTAATCCACAGAGCATTTCATTTTCTACAGCTTGCTTCATGGGTCACCAAAATAGGGTAGTTTCACTTCACCACTCGAAGCCCTACATTTCTTTCTAATCTAGGTCTGCTTTTAATGGCTTTGGAAGACATAAAAGAATGACCGTACCTCGTTTGCCCAGTCTGAATCGTCCTGGAAAGAAGAGAAAAAAATTAAATTAACGAATGAATTAGCCTGCAATAAGACACGAACGGTTTTTGTTTCTGGTATACTGTAAATGGTCTAATGCAAACGTTCTAATAAGACACCTTAATTAATGAGGATCCCAGGCAACAGTTTCTAACTTTTTGAAGAGAAGTTGAGGACATTGGTGCTTAATTCATATTAGGAAAAGAATTTCTCACAACTTTGGAAAGAATCCTGGCCCATCGGCTACCCCCAACACATTTCGTTTTTCTCAGCGTTTCGGAACTCAAAATGCGATCCGGCTTCTGTTGATGCTTGGTGGAGTGATTTGTTCTCAAGGGAGTGTAACCGATGGCACATGATATCATTATCGATGGGACTATAATTATGTGTTAGTTATAAAGAACACAGCAGATGTGTAACGGTTCAATATGGTACGTTATGGAACCGTTGGCATTCATTTTGATGAAACCAGTTTGATATTATTGGAAACGCAATGAGAAAAATCTGTTCCCATAAATCTGCGCAACTTCTGTGGTGCTTTTTAATTTTTTTAAATCACGTTTAAATGAAGCCGCTTACGTTTCAGGTATTTCAGCCTGGATTTTCTCTTCCCTTTGGACAGAAATCCAATCGATTTGCACGTGAACGCCTTTCTGTCAGGCTTTCTGTACTCAACTATTGGCATGTCTTCTGACAAGGATTTAAGGAAGACGTTGAAGCCAGTGGTGACAAATCGTACGGTTATCTGCACTGTTTTCAGTTGCCAAGCCCACTGCGGTAGCTGTGCATATTTCAGTTTCAATCCACGGGAGTTCAGGATGCATATATCTTTCTTCTCCACCTCTGAAATTGAACAGAAAGCAAAGTTTTGCAACTGATCCAAGTTGATATGCCCAAAGCTCTGTTAAACAGCCTATTTCAATTTACCACTAGGTTGGGGGGTTATATGTAAATCAGTGTACATTAAGCGTTTTGCTTTGCTGAGAAATGAAATCCTAGGATCCCTGAAATTACAATCTGGATTCAAAAGGAAAGATGGGACTGAAGAATTAACTTTACCTATTTTGATTAGCTTCCCACCGTCCGAATGGAAGATGACGTCGGAAGGGTCCTCCTTTTCAATCTCGAATTCCTGGGTGACACTGGTGTCTACATCTTCGGTAACTGTCACCTCCTTGGTGTCACCAAAACATTCGACAATCTTCGGCTCTTCTATCTGCTCCTCCTCCTCGGGCTCTGGGTTACCCAGTGATGAAAAGGAAAAGAGGCAAAATTGTAATCTTGAAGAAAAGGCTGTCCAATCAGTCAACAAACGCAGGCATGTGTGACCCCTTTTAGGGGGCACCGGTAATGTGGAAATTCCTGATAAAGAAAGATTATTGTGATAACATTGAGCTTTAAATGAAGATGCTCCAACGCTCAGGTTATGCAGACACTAAACTGTTCGTCATAAATTTTAATTTTTTTCCAAACGCAAAAAATGTAAAGGAAAATGGGACAAAAACTCACCTGGCAAGCCCAGGTCAGGTAGCAGAGGATCTGGCAGTCCACTGTCATCGTCTGTGTTGCAATTTCATGCACAAATTATGCAAAATAAGTGTCGGAAGTGCGAGACAAATCAAAAGCAGCTTGAGTGAAAACTAATCGATAGCAATTACTCCCTTCAGAAACCGATGCATCTCCAGCTTGATTCATGTTTAGCATTAACAAAAATTTACAAAACAAAAATTACCTTTGCAAGCACAAATCTTGCATCCTTCATTATTGCTCGCGAATCCATTCTTACAACCAAGTCTGCAGAAAACTGGCTTGCAAGCTGCAGAAAGAAAACCAGAAGACAATAGCCTCTAATTTGAAACCCTTTATATTTGGACCTAACGAGACAGAATGACATTTAAAAAAAATAATATTCTACTCTACGACCTTGAGCTCTCTAGTACAGAGATTTTCCCTCGACCACTAATTTACATAAGTCGGCAGGCTAGTTTGCTTAGGCGTATAACCCACGACCTCCTCCAAAATACAGAGCCACATATTGAAAGTTGATTATAAAAAGGCAAAATCATCTGGAATTGTAAAGCATTTGTAAAGATACTCGCTGTTGATTTATATTAACTATAAACGCATGCCAATAAATCATTTTTTATAAAAAAGAAGCGTTTTCCTTTGCTGTTTCTCTTATCAATTGGAAACCAGTAAAATTGCTTTCCAGTTTGACGACATTAACTTTTGATTTATTGACAGAAGACAAATTTCTTTTGTTTCATTTACCAGTTGAAAAAGTATTTCGGTCTCCTCTGCACATTTGGTAGGGTTTCCTTGATAGAGGAATGAGTTCAGGTAAATGCTTATTGTTGATGTGGACAGGCCTCGCTTACAAATGCGTCAGCTATATTACATATTATTACAAATTTACATGTTTAACGAGCATCCTTTTAGTGAGGAATGAGCTCTGGAAGGGAAACTCGACTTATCAAGACCCTTGAATATTTTATACGAGGACGAAGAAATCTTACTAATGACAAGTCAACATCATGTGGCAATATGTATCAAAGGTTGACAACCGATAATATTTTACCAAATGTCAGGATTATTCTTGTTTGATACATAATTTGTTTGGATGCGAAAACTTGATCTTTAATAAATATTTCGTAATGTCCCAGATGTCGATATGATCTTCCCGCCCCAGAATATTCAAGAGTCTCAACAAGTCAGATGACTCCTCTTGATCTCCGTAGCTGAAAGTTCCAATATTAAAGCTCCTTATAAAGCCTGAAAGAAAAGGGTCACGTTTCAAACTTCCGGAACCCTCACGACGCTCGCCTTTGGGAATTTACATGGGGCTGCCCAAAACATTTCGTGATTTTTGGAAGGATGATGTCTAAATGAAACCACCTTAAGAAACAATTGTCTCCGATTTTTTTTCGTAAATAATAATGGGGAAAGTCTACTGGATATCGGGAAAAAAAGGAATTTTTCGTAACGACCTTTCAATTCCGGCATTATTGTTTCTAGGTCTCATTCTTCATTCTGTGTATGTTTATTACATAATGCACTTTTGTGAGAGCGAAAATGTGTAACATTAGTAGATTTAAATCCCTGCATCTTAATGCGTTCTACATCCAGTTGGACTTATGTCAATGTCAGCAATGGTCATATTAAACAAGAGAGTTTATCGTAAATGCAGATACTTTCTTCAAGTTTATTTCTTTCAGAGTTTCAACCCCCTCAATTTATTTTCTGTTCCTATATTCCTTTAAGATTTTACCTCAAAACTATACCGAGAAGAAATTTTCATAACTTTTCGTCTGCCTACGAGTGCAATATGTTGTATGTATTTTAGACTTTCAGAAGTGAGAGGTCAGTTTTTGGTATTTCATATCTTTTTCTGGTCACGGAATTCGTTTGCTTTTTTAAAATTGATTTTTACCAGAATATATTTCACAAAAGTCCCTTCCGTAGCGAACAAAGAAAAAACAATTTAAGTTTAAATTTGTTTGCACATTACATGTATTTGTCCTACTCAAAGGTTCCAGGGGTAAACTTTCAGGTTGTAATACCGACAGCTGGTATAGCTGCATCAGTTTGCAGTAAGCCAAAGGGTTTGTATACTTACGTTCTCTGCAAACACGACCACAGCCATTGGAGCAGCATTTCATCCTCCCGTCAGGACAACTCTCGTCATCTGAACACTCGTTAACACAAATTCCAACCACGGACGTTTTAGCTGACACCTCTGGACATTCACCGAAACGCATGCGTGCTGGGACCGGAGGATAAACACACAGTTAAAAAAGAACAGAAAGCTCTCATGTCATTCCACAGAGTCCGATTAACTATGATTTGAATGAGGAACAGCGGACCAGAATAAAAAAGATTACGTAGGGAGTCTGATTCTATCAAGGGAGTATTTTTAAGTGTAACACTAAT